CCGTAACTTTTGAAACACCGGGTTGTTCGCCATCTTTCTCCTCGCGATACAGCCAACTCACACTGACATAAACTAACACATTTATTCAAAGCTTTTGTTTACACCACCGACTACCTCTATCTAGCGGGGGTGTGCGCGCGCGCGCGCGAGCGCGACTGCGCACACATCGGGGTCATCGACTAATTGCTATCCGATTCCATGCACACCCTTCCTACCCTTACCACCTACCCTCTCTCTCTCTCTCTCTCTCTCTCTCTATCATGGGCACCCTGTTCTCATCGCAAAAGTTACCCACCGCATTTCCCGCGAAAGCCGTCGCGCGCATTGAGGATGCCGACCACCGATTTCCGTTCGTGCGGGAGGAGTACCATCCTCCTGGCCTCCTTTATACTTCCATGTATATACTATATATATGTATATGATCTACCTTTGTCCGTTCTATCCTATCTATCCCTCCATCACACTCGTCGAACTTTGATGAATCATGCGCGGCGCGGTTCAGCCACAGATCGGCTATTCTCCTATTCATTATGTTCGCCTAACTTTCAAAACTTCTCTTTACCTACACAAAATGTTGCAGGTAAGCTTTTCTATCCCCTTTCGTTTTCTACCCTTTTTATTTTATTCATTAGTAGGTATACGTACATATCTGCGGCCCCCATTATTTCAAACAAACCGAATGTAATTGCCAACGGATAATATATATTATATTATTTTATTTTATTTGTTTTATCACAAGTTTGATCATATAATTCCATAATAATGCTGCTGCTACTTCTGCTGCCAACTGTAATCCGAAGCTTTACGTTCATATATATATATTTGTTTGTATATTTACTTAAAATAATATTTCAATCGTAAAACATTTGTGTTTTTAATACAAATTATTTAATCGTATTTACTCGACACGTTTGAAATTCGTAAAATTTGTTTAGAATTATTTAATCGACAAACTCCAAACGTTAACGTAAGGATTCATCGATTTTACATGGGTTTATTAATTACGATCATTTTAATCCATAATAATAAACATAATAATAATAATAATAATAATAATAATAATAATGTAGTTAACTGTAATATACGTAACTTTCGTTTATTTTTGTTGTGCTACTTTTAATATTATATTTCAAACATAAAAACAATTTTCTTCTAGAAATTCTTTAGTCGAATTTGTTTAGAGTTAACTGAGAAACTTCAAACTTGACTTGAGGATTCCCTTTAAAGGTTGATAACCAAGCGAGGTGAGTTTTCTAAGTACTTGCTACGTTTTTCCTCTAAGGATTACAGTCAAATTTGGATTATTATTAATTTACAATTAAACATAATTATCTTATGATTATAGCAGTTGAGCAATGTGTTAAAAATGTTGAATTTTTTCTATGAAAACAACGAAACATTATAAAAATATAAATCGTGTATTAAAATAATTGTGATACACAGTCTCGTTTTTGTTTATACATAAACTTTAACATAACATTTCATTACTATAAAATAATATGTTTATTAATTCTGAAACTAGTTAGAAGAGGAGGAGTTAACCTGGACTGTTAATATTCGAAATAATAATACATTTGTGTACATTATAAATACATTATTAATAAATATTATAAATGTTCTTTGTTCCTAATTTAATTATTCTATTTGTCAACAGATAGGTAAATTATTAATAAACAATTCCGCGAACTTCATTTCATTGCATAACACTTTTTATCTTTAATTATTATCTCGTTATATATTTATATTATATATTATTCAAAATTGTTTATACAGTAGCATTCATAAAAGCTAACAACAGCTTTCTGAACAGTTTAAAATATTAAAAAATTAATTTTTATATTAAACAAAATATAAAAAAAGAGATAGAACTATATCTGTTATTTGAATAAAACAATTGCTATAATCAAAAACTTGTAATAAGTAACGGGACGGGACGTCTTTCAAAGAAGGGTGATGAATTTATTATCTGGTTTTACCCTTTAAATAAAATCCAAAGCCTATCTTATCTCGTTATTAAATAGAAACAAGATTAAATCTGACAATTGAAATGGTCTTCATAGCAATCTATTATTTTCAAAATGCGGTAAAATGTGAATTGCATGATATATTTTAATGAATCTCTTTCGAAATCGAGTTTTCTCTCTCTCACTCATTTTTTTTTTTTTTCTTTATGAACGTAAATCGATCACTCATAATACCAATTAAAAGCATCTATTTTATTTAATACACAATAGTATTTTCCTCGCGTTTTGCATTGAATTGAATTATTTTTCAAACGATCGAGAATATCGATACGATTCTCATTCGAAATGTTTTATACACACTTGAAACGTATTCTATGAAAAAAATTTCCATTCGAATAGCAGAGATAAAAAGAAAGGGGGGAAAAAAAAACATCATCGTATATTCCTTACGTTTATTGTATGTAAGTGGACATTGAAATATTATGTTTGTCTCTGATGAAATGCGTTATGTAGATCGAGAAAATGAAATAAAGAAAAGAAAAAGTAAACAAAAAATATGAAGGGAAAATTCCTTTTGTCAAGGGACACACGAAATCGTGAATAGGGGGGACACGAGTTGGATAAGGGTTTAGACATAGGATAAAAGAAGAAGAAAAAAAAAGAGAGAAAGGGTAAGTAGACAGGAAGAGAGGACTTGGATCGATCGTGTTAAAGAAGAGAGAGAGAGAGAGAGAGGGATTGGTAAGAAAGGTTCTTCGGAACAAGCCGTGGAAAGATTTCAAGTAAAAATCGGCTTTCTAGGTTTGACGAAGGGACCCCATTTACTCGTCCTTTCCCATTAAGGATTCCCTGCGATACGCTTTTTCGCTTCGACGCTCGCGAAAAGCTAAAACTTTTCCTTAATGACGCAAGTTTTATTGCCGTGGCATTCACACACATATACACACACGTACACAGTTACGTTCACGTGTAGAATAGGGAATACACACACACATCGATAGTTACCAACGGAATTTTCGGAGTTTGTTTCGAAAATGGAGAGTCGAGATCTGTGTGCATCTATATATATGTGTGTATACATATATATGTATGTGTAGAGATAGGTACTTATATGTTGGAAAATATTCTCTATCGTCAAGCGAATCGCAATATTGGCCATCCCTTTGACGTTATTTATAGAGTGAACCAATAATAACAATCGACGAGTGAAATTCTTTTATCATTTTTTGTTTTGTTTTTTAATTTATCCTAACTTTTATCGTATATCAGGTAAAAGGATTTTTTAATATAAAAATTTGTAATAAGTGTAATAATTAATAATCAAGATCAAGAGAATAGATGTGATCTTTCTAAGATATTGATAAAAATAAATGAATTATATACCACAAGGTATGTACCTTCTCGAATCAAAATCGAGTTAATATGAATTTAATCTTTGAGTCCGATTATACGTTGATCCCTACCACTTGTACTGACCAATATCGAACGGATTATATCATCCTCGTACTCGTATCTCTTGAAATGGACTCTTGAATTTTCGTGACGTTCAATTTCGTAGAGTACGCACATATATACACACATATACGGTTACATTGAAGCCGATTATTCACGATTATCGTTCTTCTGATAGAGTAAACTTGCCTAGACAAATAACTATCCTTCTTCGGTTTCTGTAATCTCTTTAGTTTAACTTTCTTCTTCTTCCTCTTGTATTCGCATAAGCGCATAGAATTGCCCCACCTGTCTCGTATTAAACGTTTACGGAACATCAGAGAATATTTGTTGGTAATTCACGTTCACGTTCAAAGTTAAGAGAAACAAGAGGAGGAAGAAGAACAAGAAGAAGGGATATACCACTTAGTTAAACCGCGACAGACTATGGGTTTCATGCGCTATTGATTTCTAAACGTGATTATCACGGTTTAACAGGTATCTTCATGGATTATTAAACATTTTTTATTTTATTATTTTCATATTTAATAAGTTATTTATAATAATCAATATATGGTAATTTAAAAATAGTAATTTAAAACTTATTTTTTGGTTCGTTTATTTAATAGTAATTCAAGTGTAATTAATTAAAATCAATGAAACAGTTAATAATCTATTTTATATTATTGTTAATATAGTTAATCTCGTATATTTTAAAAGATTTTTTTTTTTTTTAATAAAAGAAACCATTGGAACTTCTATTTTTCAACGAATTAATGAAAGACGTTTCATTCCGTACCATCTAACCTTAACAGCGTTCGATTCGATGGAACGAACACGAAATAAATTTGCTGGAAGTCACGTTCTTTTAGAAAAAAAAAAAAAGGTTCGACCTATGTTAGGCGGATATCCGGCAACGGGAAGAAGAAAATTCCGCAACGGATTTTTCTTCCACATTTTATCGATTCCTTTTGCGTGATTCGCAATATTGTTGATAGTTGTTTTTTTTTTTTTTTTCAAAAACAAAAAAGACTGAACTATTTATTATAATCAAAGAATAAAACGTAGAATATTAAAATTATAGAAAAATCCTACCATTAGATTCATTACCATGTTATCACAATAATAATTTGAGAAAACGAATTTGAAATTTGTTAAAGTGGATCTTACTCTACGAAATTTGTGTTTCGGTTTACGAATTCAACACTGGTGGTTTAACCTGTACAACGCATTCTCAAAAATTGTTTTACACTTTGGCACACGAGCGAACGAGTTCATTCGATAAATCACGTCCCTACGAAATAGAAATTATTTCGTTTATCTTTCTCGGACAACTTCATGCCTATTGTCCCTGGACGAATTTCTCTTTTGATTTTTTTGATTTTTTTTATTTTTAACGAAGAAAATATATATTTTTTTTTCATTCGGTTATTTACATAGCCAACGATATCTCCGACCGATAACGAAGTGTCCTAACTTCCTATTCCCCTTTCAACAAAATTGGAATGGTACTTTTATTTTCTTTTTGTATTTCTTTTGCACAAAAATTCGATACGTCGTTTTTTGTTTTTGTTTAGTTTTTTTTTATATATATAAATTGTTTACCTTTAACTGCATTCAGCTTGTTGCCGACCATCTGCTTCGCCACGAAAGCTGCCATCTTGTTGTTTGGTTATCAACGATGGATCAGAGATGAAGATAATTCTTCTAATCTGAAAATAAAAAATAGAAAATATTTCTTTAAGAGAAAATAATTCTGTATTTCTAATATTCGTAATTCAGAATACAGAAAGAAATATACATCGATGGAGAAAAAAATTTTGATTTTCGTAAATATCCAAACGAATAGATAAAGTTATCTCGTTCACGAAAAAAACAATAGATCAAAATATTTTTTGTTTTCGGATTTTCTTGAGAAAGAAAGTTCGGAGTAAATAGAATATCAAAAGATGTTTACTCGTTTCTAGATTTTTATCGAGGATAAAGTTGAACGATAGAAATAGAGTAAGATGGGGTGAATTTATTCTATTGTTTATGAGAGAGGAAGAAAAAAAAACAATATTTATTAAGAAATAAAGCAGGAATAATTTTCTTTTCCTGTTTCTTGGGTTGGTAGGTGAGGAGACATCGGAACGATCGTAGTGGGAATAAACGTTGCTGGTTGTGTTGGATGAAAGATGTATGACGATGGGAAAACTCATTTTTTTTTCTTCCACCCTTTACTTACTTTAGTATTGCACTTCGACACACGCACGTGTATACATATATGTATATATGTATATAAGTGGTGACTTCGGTCTTCTTCAAAATGAAAATGAGATATGCCTCTCTTGGGAATATAACACGTAGCGAAGAAAAGTATTTTAATCTCGTGAGCGTAACCCGTACGACTTTGTGTGAATATTTTCAAAATGATAAAAAGAACAAAATCATACACAAGTTAAATATGATCAAAAAAAGAAAGAAAAGAAAAAAAAAATAAGAAGCAGAGTTATTTTTTGATTTATACGGATATTCTTAGAAATTTTATCCTAACGGCTCGTGGGGGTAATCTGCGTCAATGAATCGTATATATTTTTTGTAGTTAATTTTCATTCCCGCACGGTCAATCATTTGGGAAGTTCGATTTCGCCTACTATAGTTACAACCATCACGAGAATACGCGACTTTACGGTTGCTAGGTAAGAGGCTCCAATATTGAACTTTGGAAGCAGGAGTTACACAAAAAAGAAAATAAATCATAATCGATATATAATATACTGAAAATATTTCGAAACTATCTTATATGAAAAATTATCTACGAATGAAGATGGATATTCAAGTAAGTGAAGGAAACCACGTGAGAAATGGCAATGTATCATATAATATACACAATATAACTTTACTGTAGGAATTTCATTTCTCTCTCTCTCTCTCTCTCTCTCTCTCCCAACCTTTTCACTACTTTATATTCACTTTGTCGTCAAATTCCAGAAACGCGTTTATGACGAGAGCGAGAACGCGTTGACTGTAATAGTAGTAGTAATAGTAGTAGCAGCAGCAGCAGCAGTAGCAGTAGCAGCAGCAGCATTGTGTGTTATGCTACTCGAAATATTAGCCAAAATATGAAAACGTAGTTGCACACCATCATCACCAACCATCGTCGTTGGCTCTTCTAAATTCTTCCGCTATTTTGTTTACTGACATATGAAACGTAATCAAGAAATTTCGTGCTTTTTACTTGATTAGAAATAATCTTTGTTCCTTCTGACGTGTTTAAAAGCACACACACACACATACACACGCGTATTTAAATATTCCTCTCTTGTTAGGTGTTATTTCATATTATCTTGTCCATTAAAAAAAAAGAATAGAAATTCATGAATACTACATGCTGCAGCAATGTTAAATGAATCCAAAGAAGAACCAGTAATTTTTTTCTTAAATATCCACATTTCATTGGTATCATATTCATTGTAATTAGTATTCATGAAAATGATATATGGAACATGATATCGGTCAAATGACAGTGTCGGTTCTTGTTACATTTAACGATAACTTAATGAACAAAATTTTCAATAACGGATTCAAATTGCTGCAACTCACGTTACACCTCGAATATTATCTATTAACTTAAAAATACATTTCTAAGAGAGAATCGATCGATCGAATTTATTATACATTACAGGTGTTACAACAAAAATTAATGATGGATATAAAGAGTCAAGTTTTTATAATGTCATTTAAAAGAACATATATAATCAAAAAGTTCTTAACTGGTATTATTCGGTATTATCTAACAGATCTCGTTGAAAACAATGAAGAAGGAATATATATATATGTATATAAACGTTAACGTGTTAATAGAAAATCGTATAATAGAAAGTAACTAGGTTTGATCATTAGCAAATGCAAAAGTACTTATCAAAAGTTTCTATATAACCCTGTTAAAGTAGGAAAATGAGAGTTTTCCACGACGTTATGTTCGTCCTCATCTCGTTTTTCCAAGTGATAATCTTGCAAACGGTTTACTTTAATCGAGGCAATGTCTATTTGGTGCAAAACTCGGAAAACAGTGGTGGTTTTTGCAATAGAAAGAGAAAGAGAAAGAAAAAGAGAAAGATGATTATTTGCTAGCTTGGCAAAGGATAGAAAAGAGTGAGTCGAATAAAGGATCGATAAGGGTGGTAAGGTAGGGGGTGAGTAAGGGGAGAGAACACGAGAAATGTTATATAATACATGGAACACCCTAACATTATTTTCGTATATGTAGAGAAGATAGAGAGAATACACGTGTACATTTATATACAAATACTAAGGAAGAAGAAGAAGAAGATGAAGAAGAAGAAGAGAAGCTGCGAAGATACGACGCCGGTAAACCGACGACCAAACCGGCGTCGAGACGTCTCGGCGCCTCTCTTTCTCTTTCTCTCTCTCGTGATTTTCCAACAACACGCGACAACCACGATGAATAAGATAAGCTTTTCTCCACCCACCGATATTCTTTTTCTTAACCACGAAACCATCAATAATCGTTAATTGGATAGATATTTATTAGACGTTGAAATTAACACAATGACTGATTATTACATTAATTATAATTCTGATTTTAAAAAATGTAATCGATCAATTCGTCATTATATAATTTTATCAAGTTCTAAAGTCATTTGACAATTAGTCAAAATGAAAATTTATTAATAAGAAAAATCGTACATTTGTTTTAATATTAAATATTGGTGTTGTTTGAATTTTGTCGACCAACAAAAAAAGATAATATAATAATAATTATATTATTATAAATAATGATATAAAAAAAAAAGGAAACAATGTAGCTCTTCGTAGTGATCTTTTCACATTGCTCTCCTGAAGCTTTTTCAATCGGTTCACAAAGCCTCTCGAGAGCTTAACCGAAGCTCTTGTTTTATCCGTATAGATGCAGGTCGTCCGTACGAGTCTTGTCTAGCTATTACCACACCCCCGTCAACTCCCAGAACCCCCTTCAACCAACCCCCCTTCACTGGTGCTTCTGCTGCTGCTGTTACTACTACTACTACTACTACTACTCCAGGCCGCTTAATGTGCTCGTGTTTTTGCTCAGTAAGCTCGAGATTAAGTAACATCAACAAACGGCGAAGCTAACGAACCGTTTCGCCGCTCACGAAAGAGGATTTTCCCTTAGTAAAATTTCCTGAACGGACAGTGGCCGTCCGCTTCTCCTGGCTGATCGATTCGATAATCATCAAACGCTATAGAGATTTTCGACAGTTCCAAAAATATATAAGCCATTCCATGTGTTGTTTTTTCGATAGAACTACTGAAAGCATTGAAATGAAAAAATGGGAGATCGATCGAAATAAATTTGAAATAAAACTAATTGGTATTTTTGTAGTGTTTTTAGGAATTGTAATAATTAGGTAATATAATAAATTTAGGTAATAATTATTATTAACATTAAATTTTCAGATATGACTAGAAAGATTGTAGTGTACAAAACAAGTGTATTATTTTATATTACAAATGTTATAATGTTACGCAAAGTGCATTAAATTTTAAAAACCTAATTACGTGTAGAAATTTGGTGTATATTTTAGAACAGGATAATTAAAAATGATTATAATTGAATAATCAAGTATTAAAATGGATAAATAATAAATGAGAAAGATCTTAACAGTTAGCGATGGAAGTTGGATAAATTTTGTTCGATGAATAAGTAAATATGACGTGGGGTTTCAGAAACGATAAAAGCCTCGGAAATTGGTAAAGTCGAGAAGGGGTTAGGTAAGAGGGTTCTGTCCGTTAGTATTTGTATCCCCCTACTTCCTTAGATTGATGCCTTTTAAAGGGCAAGAAAATTGATGGGCGTTCTTACGTTGTGCATGCACAACTCCGCAAAATCTCTTCTCCTAACCAGATATCCAAATGGACAAGCTACTAACCAAACAGACAGACATACAGTCAGACAGACAGTCAGTCAGTCAGTCAGTCAGTCAGTCAACCAAGCAAGCAAGCAAACAAGCAAACAGCAGGCACTCAGGCAGACAAGCAGTCATACGAAAAGTAGATGAAGTTTCCGCTTGTTGTCGAAAGAACCTTTCGAATGTGCAAACACATCGTCGGAAGTGCTCTCTATATATATTTCTGTAAATTTCTTTCATTGTGTACTATGTATTCGTCTATTCCACTTAAATGAGACGAGGAACAATGATGAATGAGAACACGAACAAACCTATTTTAATTGATCTTTTTTATAGTACAACAAATCAGAAAATCTTTTGTGGTAGTTTCCTCTTCGACAAGTATCAGAAAAGTATACTTTTCTAATGCTAAAAACTTTTATCGAATTCTAACAACTCTCTTAGAAATGTTTGATCTTAAATGGTACCTCTCATTTTAGAGCAAACCAGGTACGTGATCGCGGCCGTTTTCGTGAAAAACGAGGTCGAACGTGACACCGAGAATGGTTTTATATTTCTTTTCTTTTTCGTGAAATTAAGAACGCTGCGACTCGTTCCAAAACGAATAGGGATGCTCGAAGGGTTGAAAAGGGGATAGGCGCCATTGTCAAGATGCCGGGAGAAAAGGGTAAGGATTCCAACTCGCGAAGGAATATTTTTCACGGAGCCAAGGGACTCTTCTTCTTCTTCTTCTTCTTCTTCTCTTCTTTTTAAAACAAACAAAAATTCCTTCGTTCGTACCAACTCCAGCCGAGAATTTCAACGCTCGCAAACACACA